GATCAAACGATTTGCACAGATAATTGAAATCATGTCCATCCCAAAGAGCAAGATGGGGTATGTAGTCATTATTTGATTTTGGTGTGTTTTGTAGAAAATATAAGATGAGAGACATCCTATTTATACAAGCTTTGGATCACTTTGAATCTTAGAAATCTTATCATGACATCAAAGAGTTTTTCATAAATGAATCTCCGGGTAAAATCAATTTTTTTAACGAAAAAAATGTGTTTACGGATATGCATATCCGTAATGTGCCATGTTGTGTGTGTGTGTGTGTGTGTGTTTTATTTAAAATTTAGTGTGGAATGTATCCGGGTATGCATATCCAAAAACACCCTGAACCAGTTTCACATCAAAAACTATGTAAACAAAAACATAAAATGTAAACCATAAAATTTGTAAATTGAAACAATCGACATTTACACCACCATTGCTTAATATGCATTATTTATGTATTAAATTGTATCAGTATTACATCATTGACGATAACGTTAAAAAAAACGTATCAATACAATCTAAAATGTATCAAAAGATGCACCACCGTATAAATCTACTATTGGTTCATCCTTCAACTTTTTCTTATTTGATTCTTTTTCAAGGTCTCTCAATTTGATGAATTTTCCCGTCCTTTTCAGAAATTGATTCGACCAAGTTTCAACCTCTTTTGTGGAATGTGTCGTCCACTCCAATGATGTTATTGGTATAGTACACCCCGATTTCAAATAAACCTCAACAAAATGTAGTTATTTTAAAAGACACCCAATATACATGATGTATCTGTATGGATCTTGAGGTGGGCCACTCTGAAGTGGATAAAATGTCTCAGAGAAATCATATATATTCAGATCGATGCACAACATGTTATATGCAATTGCTATAAGATGACTCATTTTAGAGAAACACATCCATTTTGACTCCGGTATGAGACCGCTAACACAAGGAATAAGCGCATTCATTTTGACTATGTTAGTTGTTGTATTTTTGATGTGTCTAACCTGATCGGTCCAAGCACATAAATTTTTTCCCTTCACTTGGTCCAAAATACTACTACTCTCAACATATTTTAGGAAATATAGATATCTGACACACACACACACACACACACACACACACACACACACACACACACACACACACACACACACACACACACACACACACTTCTAAAATGCATTACAGGGGCAACATACAAGTCTTTTACGGATGAATTTAATATATCATTTCATGCATCCATTATCTTTTCCAACACCACACCAGGTTTGACCATTTTTTGTCTTCACCCTTTATTTGTTTGGTGCCTACCGCGGGTTTGAGTTGACTTCTCACATTTTTTGTTATATGACATCGGCAAAGTAATGTGCAAGATGTATGAAACACCTTTGCAACCAAATTCATCAGTGCGGTGTCTCGGTCAATGATAATTATATTTAGCATGCTTTCTTGGTCCTCCAACAAAGTCTTGCACATTTCCAAGGCCTATGTAACTTTGACCTCTTTTTCGGATTCGAGAAACATAAATCCCACTAATAAAGTCTTCTCCGCAGAACTAAAACCAACAATTTTCAGAAGTGAAAGCCTATTCATGTTGGTCTTATACGTTGAATCAATTATAAGGACAATGAAAAATGTGTTGAACAACTTGATACTTTCGGGATGAGTCCAAAATATGTCACGAACAATGACTTTATCCTCATTAATATTGTACCTAGAAACATAGTTATTATCATCCAAAAGCTTTAACAGTTGTTGCATTTCGGATCTAGGACTTCTTATCGCCATGTTGTTTCAATAACGCGCATTATATACTTGCTTGATATTTGAAACACTTTCGGATCTTTTCCGTTTCAAATATGCAAATATGTTTTTCGGTGCCACCCTAATTAAAGACATAGTCGAAACAATTTCCTTCTCCTCTAGTTTAAGGCGACATACGATGAGATTACCAGATAGCTCGGTTTGCAAAGCATGATTATGTATGTCAGAAATTAGATTAAATTTCCATGTATCATTCATCTTACAGTATCCGCACAATTTAAACGGACAATCAAATTTTCTCGATCTGGGGAGTCATCACGTTTCAACTTCCAAATCGGTGGAATATACGTGTCGCTTCTCTCGCATCTGATGGATGCAAATGCTTGCCTTCTATTTGAACCATTGTCAGACCTTTCGATTACAATATCAAACCCCAATTTCTTGGCCTACATCGGGACCCATTCGAGCATATGCTCACGAGCAATAAACAAGTGTTCATTTCTAAAATGATGACCAACATCTATCTCGACAATAATCGATTTAAGATATCTGGGTGCACCATGGCTAATACGAAATAAATAAGAAAAATAGTTTAAAAAACTCACAATAACAAGAAAATTCGGATATGCATCTCCAAAACATGACCACATAAATTCAGATATGCACATCCAAACTTAAAGTTCATTTTTCAACTCAAAGATGAGATTGATGCAAATAATGAGGGATGAAATGAGTGAACTTTACCTTAATTTACAACTTCTTTTACTCTCTTTGATGTGATAAAACACAAGAATGATGATTTGGAGTCGAAAAATTGATTGAAAATGAATTTTTTTTAAGGGTTTTGAGTTATGGAAGTGACACAGAGTGTGGGAGAGATGATCATGCAAGGTGGTGATATATTCAATTTCTCGCTTGACATTTTTGGAGATGCATTTTCAAAAAATGACATTGAATGGTTAAATAAATCATCTCAATTAAAAATGCGAAGTAAATAAGGTTCAAGATTGTTTTCGAAGATGCGTTTTCGAATATACCTTAAAAAATTTCACAAATATATCTCCAATTTTTTTTTTTTAAATGGTGAATGTTTGATTTACAAATGATGAGATGCTTTAAGTACTTTCGAAGATGTGTCTTCAAAAATACCTTATGTGCTACATTCCCTTGATTTTTTATAGACACAAATTTATAAAATGTACCTACAAACGTCCACAAAAGAGTGACTCCAATAGCATTGGTGCATATGTGCTACATTCGATACATTGCATTAACTTTATGAAATAGTTCAAAAATGTAAAACTGTGAAAATTAGTTATGAATATGAGCAAAGTATAAATTTCTTTAACATATAGTACATTTTTTTCCTATCATGCCTTAACAATCATTAAACTACGGTTTTCAACTTTATAAAAACACCACTTTTTCATTTGTTCTAGGTCTCTTAATATATTGAATAGATCAAGTTAGCTCAGTGGTTCTCAGTGTAACAAGGGTGATTTCCATACATAAATAAGCAAATTTAGTATCAATTAATTACTATAAAATATCTAAAATATTAATGAGAACCTACATCTTTTAATTCTCTTTCTTTTTAAAAAAACTAATATATTTAAAAAATTAATAGCAAGTAATTAAATACATGCTCATCTCCGAACAACACCTTATATCTTTTTCATTTTCACGTCCAAAAACGTGGAAACATCGTACAAACGCACACCCAATCAAATGTTTAGACTTATTGGATGTCAATTTAACATAAACAAACAAATATATAATAATGACTTTTTAATATTTTTCTTTTAATAAATTAACGTCTCTCAAAAGCTACAATAAAAAAACATTGTCAATTTCTATATCCAAGAGTCAACTTTAGTCACCATTATAATTATAAATAATTACAAATTACAAGTTAGAATTCTCCCAATGGAATGATTTAGAATTTGATGTTTAAATCTTAAGAAGGAAAACATTGATACATCAAAATGGTGAAAGATGTTAAATATAGAAAACCTCAAGAACAAGAAAAGAAAAAAGTTGCTATGTCGAAAGCATTTAGTGACTTGTTTGGCCCGAAAAAGGAAAAAAAATGTGAATGATTGAGTAGTGGAGAGTTTTAATTGTTATAGAAGCAATTATAAGTTTGAGGAAATGTCAATATTGATAATTGAAGAAAATGGAATAGCAAAAATTATGAATTAGAAGCCAAAGAAAAAAGATATGGATAAGATACGCATCCTTCTCAACACGGCGTCCTAAATTTGGACCCAACTCAATAAATTTTAAATCATTATAATTTATTTAATAATAACATATCCAGATTTTTTTTCTTTCAAAATTATTGTGATGAGAAAAAAATATCCTAGTACAAATGGAAGTTTGGGATGGAATCACTAATCAATTTTTTGAAGGTCCCTCACTCAAAAACTTATCCTATTTTCATGGTAAGAAATCACCTCTTTTTAGATAAAAACATAATCCTATTCTTCAAGTAAAAAAATATGGATCCAAACTAAACTTTAACAAATGAGGAAAAAATAAATTAAAAAAAAGAATGAGATCATTTTTGACTAATATACAATATATGCATATCATTAGAGAGATAATCTATTTAAAAAAATATGAGATCAAAATTAACTATATATATATAAAAAATAAAATTGTATTATTATGTTGGTATAATTGTATTGTTTTGAAGGGGTAGTTGATGACAGATATATAAAATAAAAAATGGTAAGAATCAATGTTTGAGGAATTGGGTTCTGATGTGTCTTGACTCATTTAGAGATTCTTTGTTAATAAATGAACAAGAGCAACTAACAACTAGTGCTATTCCGATCTCACAAAGATTATGTTCTTATTCTATATTCTCATCCAATTTTGTATTTATTATATGGTTCAACATTATCATTCATTAATAATATAATAATTATGAACAACCAAGAAAACACCTACCTTGTTGAAATTATTATAAAAAAAAAAAGAGTTTGACCAAAAAAAGAGTTACTTTTAGGTAAAAAGAAACATAAAGGAAAATAAAGAATTTCCATTTCCATATTAATATTAATATTACATTAGTACTCTTTCGAGCTGTGAAACTTAATGCCGCATAGCATAATTACTACTAGTACTTACATTAATATTAATAATAATAATAATAATAATAATAATAATAATAATAATAATAATAATAATAATAATAATATTAATATTAATAAACCAAACATTAAATTCAATGTTTGTTAAGAGCTACTGCTTTCTTCATTTTCATGGTCATTCCGTTCATCTGTGATTCCACTTGTAGCTGGTGAGTTTGAAGATGCAACAGTGTTTTTGTTGCTGTTGCTCTGTGCCAAGAAATCATAGAAAACAACAACCTTTGAATCTGAGTTATTCACCTTTCCAAGGTTGTTGTTGACCATGATCTCTGGTTTCACTGTGACAGTTTCTCTTCCGTTTTTAGTAGCAGCTCTTTTCTTGAGAAATATACGGCACAGAACCCAGTTTTCATTCTGAAAAAATCACCAAAATAAATTAGTTACAAATAATAAAGTTTATAGGCAAAGTGGCAGTACCGTTTGTAGGGTGCCGTTAGAAGTCATGCGTCCTATCCATTGAAAGAATGAAAGAAGGACTAACCAGAGGGTTAGAGTGAGAAGTAGCGAGACGATACTCATGCATAATCCAATCAGTTCTGGAACCGTGAGGTGGTTTACCACAGTAAAAAACAAGAGTCTTCTTCATCCCAACAATCTCAGATTTCGACCAGCTAATAATCTGTTTGTCCAAACCAGTAGCCTTCCAGTAGCCAGAATTTGTAGCTCTGTTAGATCGGTTCCCATTCGGATATTTGGCTTCTTTGTTACTGAAAAAGTACCTTTCTTGTTCCAAATCACCTAGAGAAAAAAACCCAAACCAATGTTATGAATTCATAAATTCATGAAAGAAGGAAAAGAAAAGCTACATACCAGGTAAATCCCATGGGTCAGACTTGCAAAGATCAGCTTCTGGGATGATTGCAGCAGGCAAAGGGAGAGAGAACACCTTCCGTTTCAAATACGACAGAACAAGTTCTTCATCGGTGGGATGAAAACGAAAACCTGGTGGCATTTTCAATTCGCCATTTTTGACAAAGTTGATTTTCTCCATCTTTTCGAGTTTGAAAGGTAGCACTCACACACTCGTGAATTTTTTGTTCCTTAAAAGAACATTAAAAAGTAGGAAGAAGGAAAGAGGGAAGAAAGAAAAGAAAAGAAAAGAATAAAGAAAGAAAAGGGAGTAATTATTAATATTTTTTTAAAGATGAATAGATAAATGAAATGTGGGTGGTTTTATAGTAATGGGTGAGTGAAGAAGAAGAACAACAAGACATATTTGTTTGTTTATTTGGCGTAAACCATACTCAACACTTTCCTTTTAACTTTGACGTTTTCTTCTAACTTTCTCACACACGAAACTAGAAATTCAAATAAATTATTAATGTACAAGGTAAACCTAGTTCTCTATGTCTAGGAAGGATTGGACTAATCGCTTTATCTAGAACTGTTAAAGCTGTGTTTTTCTCACACAAATAATGTTTAAATATGCCATATCATGTCTATTTAGGATTTAACTTTTTATAATCTCATTTTTATTATATTTCTTCCAATTTTATTATTATTTTTTCATTTTTAAACATATAAAAAAATTTACGTATTTGGAACATATATGGTTCAAATACATTAATTATATTTTTTTTTATAAAAAGTAAATTTACTTTTTATTGTATAAAAATAAATTTTTTGAAAATATATAGACTTCTTTTTGACTCAACATAAAGATTATTTATTCAATTTTTTTTTTATAGCATTTATAACTTGTATTCTTAATGTATAAGTTAGCATGACCATATTTTAAAAATTATGTTTATGAATTATTTGTGATATGTTATTTAGTATTATTAATGTTCAATAATAATAATAATAATAATAATAATAATAATAATAATAATAATAATAGTAATAATAATAATAATAGTTTTTTTTAATTATTAATTAGGTTTAGTTTTTCTCACACAAATAATGTTTAAATATGCCATATCATGTCTATTTAGGATTTAAGTTTTTATAATCTCATTTTTATTATATTTCTTCCGATTTATTTATTTTTTTTTCATTTTTAAACATATAATTTTCTTTACATATTTGGGACATTTAAAATACATTAATTTTATATATATATATATATATATATATATATATATATATATATATATATATATATATATATATATATATATATATATATATATATATATATATATATATATATATATATATATATATATATATATATATATATATATATATATATATATATATATATATATATATATATATATATATATATATATATATATATATATATATATATATATATATATATATATATATATATATATATATATATATATATATATATATATATATATATATATATATATATATATATATATATATATATATATATATATATATATATATATATATATATATATATATATATATATATATATAAAGTAAATTTACTTTTTATTGTATAAAATCTTTGAAAATATAAAGATTTCTTTTTGACTCAACATAAAGATTATTTATTCATTTTTTTTCTTTTCTTTTTTCAGTATTTATAACTTGTATTCTTAATGTATAAGTTAGCATTACCATATTTTAAAAATTATGTTTATGAATTATTTGTGATATGTTATTTAGTATTATTGATGTTCAATAATAATAATAATAATAATAATAATAATAATAATAATAATAATAATAATAATAATAATAATAATAATAATAATAATAATAATAATAATAATAATAATAATAATAATAGTTTTTCTAATCACTAATTAGGTTTAGATTTTTTTTCTCTCCATAAAAGGATACAAATAGCGTGTTTGTAAAATCATACGAGATTTGCAATTTCTAATCGAAGGTGAATCTAGGTTAAAGATACATTTTATAATTTCTTATTCGTAAGATATTGTCGGACGGCGGTAGCAACAAATAGAAGTTAAATCAAATATGTTATGACGCAATTTACGCTTCTCTATTTTAAAATATTAATTAACATTAAAAAAATGATGAGTTCTTAAAGAAAATATGTTGGACTAGTATCTTATAGACTTTAATATATGTATTTTTTGTGTTGACTTGGATCTTGACGCAAAAAAAGTGTACACCCTAACTATTTTTCATATTACTATTTAGGTTTGGTTTTCCTGCGATAAAACAATAATAAAAGTGTGTGTGTGTAGAAAATGATGTATGACATGCATTTGTTGGATGGGTGTGTATCTAATTTAAAGCTATGTTTTGTCGTTTCTTATTTTATATGGTAGAATTTTGTCTGATCTACAGCGAGGACAAATAGAAGCCGAACTAAATGTGACATAACAGAACCTACGCTTTGCTTTTAAGAGTATTAATTAACATTCTGAAAATGGTAACGATTCCTTGAAGGAAAAAATGGTAACGATTCCTTGAAGGAAACATGTTGGGCACGCATCTTATAGACTCTACAATAGGTAGCTTCTGCGTTGACAAAAATCTTGACGCAAAAAAAGTGCATTTCAAACACGCTAGTTATTTTTCATACTACTAACTAGGTTTTGTTTTCCTATGATAAAACAATAATAAGCATGAGTGTGTTTAGAAAACGACGCATAATGCATGGCTGAGCGTGCATTTAGTTTAAAGATACGTTTTCTCGTTTGTTATTTTATATGGTAGAATATTGTTGAACATGTAAAGACAACAACTAAAAGTTGAACTAAATACGACATAATAAAATTTACGATTCAATTTAAGAATATTAATTAACATTCAGAAAACGACAATGAATCTTTGGATGTGCGTAATATACACTCAATAATATATTACTTCTACGTTGATGTGAATTTTGACACCGAAAGTTCATCTTCAAACCCTAAAAGAATTTATTTATTATTATTATTATTATTATTATTATTATTATTATTATTATTATTATTATTATTATTATTATTATTATTATTATTATTATTATTATTATTATTATTATTATTATTATGAGGGATTTGATTGACATGTAACAATTGAACAATAACTCTTAACAAATGTAATTTCTTTAAACCCTAATAAGTAATAGGAATTAAGGGTGCTATCTCCCTTGGGAAACTTTTATATGTCTTTGTTAAATGCCAATTGTGGCTAAATATGTCCAATTTTTCTTTCCATTTTTTAATATTATTTTGTATTTTCAAATGTTTAAATCTATAGTTTGTGAAATGCTTTTAAACTTACATATAACTTTAGTTTCCTTTATTTATGTGCTACTGTGTAAGATTGATGCATAGGAATCAAAGGAAGAGACACCAAATCAAGAAAAGGAAGCCAAAGCAAAAAAGCTATATTTTAACATTCTCGTCGGCCAAGCAGTAGCGAATAGAAAGCGTGCTCGTCGGGAGAGCTCGAGCGAACAGATGGCGAGAAAAAACACTGTAGAGGCGGAATTAAAAGTGTATCATGGTCACCCGACGAGGTCTAGCAAACTTGAGTTCATCGGGTGAGATGACCTGAGGCACTTAAAGTGGCTAAAAGTGGACTTCGTCGGGCGAGACATCGCAAATTTTGTTAGATATTAAGGATCTCTTGTTCACCTTTTGGGATATAACTTTCATATCATCTTATTTCCTTAGACACAAAAACCCTAAAAACTCATCTTGTTACACATTCATATCCTTCAATTTCTTGTGAAGTAAGCTACCATGGTTATGAATAGCTAAATCTCTTGTATCAAGATTAGATGTAATCAATCTTAACTTATTTGTATTTCTTTTAATATTTTGTATGTGCACAACTTAATAATCAACGTAGATGATAACCTTTACTTTTATTGAATATGTGTAGTTTAAATAATTGTTGAGAAATATCTTTTAAGTCTTGAACTAAGTTTATCATCTATCAAAGACCAAGTCTAGACATGGAAGTGGAATTTGATATTCACTTTGTATTGGATCATAAATGTTATTTGCATTGTTTAATAGGTTGAGACATTGTCGATTAAACAGTACAGTAAAAATCGCAATACCGTCTTAGACATGAACGGTATATATGAGCGATACATGATTATGAATGAAGTTCACATGCTTGATTAATCGAATACATGCAAAGTAGGTTGATGAAATCTAGTCTTGATATGTCCTTTAAAACAACAAATCTTTCTAAACTTGTACTCATTGCTACAAACTCTTATGAATGTTAATGTTACCAAACAAAAACCAATCGAAAGCCTCACTTAAGACATTGTAAACTGTAGAACGGAAGTAATATCACTTCAATCGTTGTGGACCGTGCCAGACATTTTTTATCTTCAAAATAAATCTGAATAAATAAGAACAGTTGGATAAATTACAATTTAATTGAACCGAACGAATTGAGTGCAATAAATATTTATTTTAAAAAATGCTAAATATTATGCAAAACTATTGTCTAGGTCCTTTAAGTTATTTTAAAATATCAAGTTAGTCCTTTAAGTTTTTTTTTGTAATGCTTTGGTCCTTTTTAAAAAATATTGTTATAATAAATCACAAACTTACATATCATTTGAACTGATTTTCTACGCTGATCATGAATATGTAATTAGTTTTGTGTTTGATTGTTTATTTTGATCGGATCAATGATTTTTTATTATGTATTTCGTCTATTTTTACTTGATTCTCATGTACCGTAACTTGTTTGACAAATTTGATTGCATATTCGTGATTAGTGCAAAAAAATAATTTAAATGATATATAAATTTTCAAATTATTATAACGGAGATTTAGAAAAAAAATGCCTATAAAAAAACTTAAATAACTAATTTTATATTTTAAAATAATTTAAAAGACTAAAACAATAATTTTGTCCAAATATTATTATTATTTTTAAATAAAATTTATCACACATAATCTAATTTTATCAAATATATTTTATTTTCAAATATTTTATCTCCGAATAATAATAAAAAATATATTCAGAGATAAAATATTCAAAAATAAGATAAATTTTATCAAAAGATAAAGATAATAATAATAATAATAATATTTATTGTATTTTATCATTCTCATTCAATTAATTTATATAAAAAAAAAAATGGTACGGCGAGAGATAGCAGCGGAAGTTATAGTAAAACAGTTAAAACAAATAACTTGTGTTCAAATATTAAAGTGCAGATTGAGTACAGCTGGAGGTGACCTCTAACCCAGCAGCATTAAATGTTGAATGGCAGTTTATGTTTATATGAAAATACGAAACTACCCCTCCCATGAGTTTGTTTGATTTACACAACACGGCACCACACAACGCCCCCTTAAATGAGGCAACTCTTATTTTTGTAATTTACCACTTAATAGTTAATTTTATTCTTTGAAACACTTAACTTCATATTCACTCTTCTCTCTCATTCATTGCCTTTACTTTTACTACCTACTCACCCCCCTTTTCATGCTTTTCTCCCCCTTTTCCCTCTTTTTCATTTGTCAATTTTTACAACTATAACTTACTTTACACTCTTTTACAACCTCATCAAATTTATTCACTCCTTTTCTTTTATCAATATTATTTACATTTATTCTTTCTATGACATGTCCATGTCGTTGATTCATTTCTGTTTCTCTAAACTTTTTGTATTTCATTACATAATATGTATACATTTTTATAAGGAGCCGTGAACGTGAACGTTAACAAACATATTTCTTATTTCATTTTCAAATCAAATAAAATATTCGGTTAGCTTTTCAATAACTTAAAGGTCTAAATCAATATGAAATTGACTAACACTTTTATTTTCTTATTATTGCTACATGCATAAGTATCTAGGACCATACATAAACCTATCACAAAATCTATTAGACCTCATAGATGATCGCATGAAATAGAGTTCTATTTGTCCTATTATATTTATAGGTGGGCCTAAAAAAATTTTTGCTTATCTTTTTGAGCATTTAACTTCTTATCCCTCCCATATAATTTTATACTTCTCAATCTCTTCATGAATAGATTTGAGTAAAAAAATACGAATTAAATTTTCAATAATTCATTTTAAATTTTTGATAACAGGTTAAATTTTTAGTAGTTCATTTCAAATTTTTGATAACAGACTAAATATTTGGTAGTTTATTTTTAAATTGTCGATATTAATTTTTTTTATCGATTTTTTGAACAAAATTAACATATTGTATTTTTTGATAAATCCGATATTTGCCTTATTTTTTTGAATTTTTTAAAATTTTTGGTAGTTCCTATTCAATAAAAAAAATGTAACACTATAAAAAATTTTGAAAAGTGTTGTAGATTATAAAAAATTTCGAAAAGTGTGGTAATTTATCGGAAATTTAAAAATTTCCGATAGTGTAAATTTTTGTTTTCAAAATTTCAATATTTCAATTTTTTTCAAAAACTTTAAAAAGTTTCTTTAAACACAATAAAAAATTCCAACAAAATTTAGTAAGGGCATAAAAATATTAACAGCTATTATGTGGGGTGTCATATTTAATTGAGGGGTGGCATGTTAATTTTTTTTATATCTTTTCCATTTGTTTAAATATAATATAGTCTAAACAAAGAGTTTTGAATTGGGCCTAAAATCGGGTCATCCCAAGCATTAGTAGTTAAGCGATCTATGAGATGGACACATCTTAAGAGTATATTAAATTAGGTTTAGACTCAAGTTTGCGCAATTTTAAACCCTAAAACTTCACACTCATGATCTTTATTAATTTAATCGTCAAAGTGTTTACATATATAGGAGGATACTAGCTGTTAGAATACGAATTATCGCCTACTTTTTTTTTTCTAACCTTAGTTTTTGCCTTATAAAAATGTAGTTTTTATCATACAATTGCACATAATTCTTATTCAATAAAACTCATCATGAATTCTAAGATAGGTAAATTTGATAATTTTTATTCAATTGAAACATCAAACACATAAACTGAACCAATGTATAAAAAAAACTTAAAACTCTCCATGTTTAAATCAAACACTGCCCCTAATGTAAAAAAGAATAAACAAAAGAGAAGGAAAAGGAAAAACTAAAAAATTATGGTAGAGGAGGGAAATGCCCTTGCGATACGGAAAAGGAAAAACTAAAAAATTATGGTAGAGGAGGGAAATGCCCTTGCGATACATGATGTTGAACATTATAGTCATCATATTGTTCATCAGGTTCAATATTTTGCCTTTCCTTATCTGTTCGGCTTCCATTATCACTTGACATTTCTGATTGCTTTCTTGGTGTTATTTGGATCTTTGGGTATGATAAGGCAGCGGGTCAGTGGAAGGCAGTGAGATTGGCTCATTATCATCTTCAAGCATCTCAATATGAACTGATGCATGTCAGGAGTAATTCTAGTTATCAGGGTTGCAGACTGTTCTCTTTCTTTGGTTGGATATGACAATTAACTCCTGACCTCTGACTAGAAGCTTATAAGAGACGCTTGATTGAACGACTATTTGCATTGTAATAAATGCTTCCACGTCTAGCCTTGTACTTCTATGAATTTTAGATAGCTGCTCAACAACCATTTTGTAACCCAAGAATTCAACAACGGGCATTTGTGATGCTTTCGCTTGTAGCCTTCCTCACATTTCCAAAATTCTTAGCCAAAAAGACAGTATAGTCAACCAGAGTGGACTTCAATCATAGACCATATAAAAATAATTCTCTCAGGATGGTGACCCTGGTACTACCCCATCTCGCAAATATGATGTATTCTAATATCTTTTGTATACACTTAAATAAAGGTTTTAAACTAAAGAACTTTTGGCCATATCAGATTAATATCCTTCACCAGTCAATTTTAGCCAAAATATATTCACATAAACTCCCTTAGGGATAACCTTATCACCCTCAGTTGGCAGTTTATAAATCTCAGAAATACGAGAGATGCTCAACGAATAATCTGTGTTGAACATCCTAAAGGTTACAACTCTACACTAGTTATCTGCCACCCTATTAATGTTTACCTCTAAAGTGCTTAAAAATTCTAAGGTACTTCTAGAATAGGTAGGGATTTTTAAAGATATAAAATAGATCAATCCTAATTGATTAAGCATCTAGTCAACATCCTATGTTATTCCTAAGTCTCCAACAGTGTTTTGATGCACATGCCTTTTGGGGACAATTTTCCATCAAGAAAGAATATCAAACCTCTATTGTTGCTTAGCGGTTGCAAATTCTTTCTCGTACGAATGAAAGATTCTTGTAACCAGGGCTGGGCAGCGGATCAGGTCGGTTTGGGTTCGGGCTCAAAACCTCAAACCGACCAATCCATAGGGTGGGATATTATAATCTGTTTTTAACTGGATTGTAATTTCGGATTGTCGGGTTCGGTTGTATTCGGGTTTAAATTATTAAGTCGGTTATTTTTGGATTTCACAGATTTTGGCCCAATGAAAATGTATACATTTTTTTTATTTAGACTAAGGATGACCCAATTTTAAAAATGGTCAAAATACATTTTTTAAGTCATTTTTTTTTTGTTTTTTTTAAGAAATGAGCCATATATTGGACTTCCAAAACTTCACAATTTAAATTGTTAGAATACATTTAAAATTACTATTAGAACCCATATTTCTCTTAAAACTAAAACAAATTCAATAACATTAATACAACCAAATTGTTTAACTAAATTAAAAATCCTTCCAAGGACCATATAAAATCTAAATTTGAATTATTCAACATAAATTCCATGTAGTAACACAACCAAAGCACCATTGTGAAACTAGTAAATAACATTGAAGAACCTCTCATTTTAAGCAGCCTGCATATTCAATTATAAACACCACCATTCAATCCAATGTTAAAGCTAGTGCTTCTACACTTTGAACCACTGTTGCCTAAATCTGTATTGCCTCTCAGCATCATAACAACAAATTCGTTGTAGTCTATTTGTCCATCCTGAAAGGATAAAAACATGAACATAGCAACAACGTCAAAAGTTTTACGAGATTTGGAAAAGCATGATTGAAAATATTATGTACTCACATTATTTTGATCAGCTTCTTGGATCATTTCCTCTAAGTCGACATCTTTCATGCTGAATTCTTTACAAACTTTTTGAAGCTCATCTTGAGTGATGTAACCACTTCCATCTTTATCAAAATATGAGAAAGCTGTAACTAAATTATCTTCCCTACCAACTTTGTTCAAATGCAATGTTGCAGCTATGAATTCTCCATAGTCAATTGTGCCACTATTATCTACATCTGCCTGCAATAACAAACAAAATTGGTTAAAATGGATTATAGTATTGTGAAACTAAAATTGCCAACACGAAAGAAAACAAAGTTTTATTTTGTGACATTAAAGAAATTGAAGAAGATTTTGAACTTACAGCATTCAATAGATCAAAAATCTCAAATTCATTGAGATTGGCGCCGAACATTTTCAGTCCAGCCTTGAGTTTTTCGAAAGTAATTTGACCGGTGTTGTCAGTGTCTATCATCTTAAACAATTCTTTCAACCCAGATATTTCTTCTTCAGAAAGATTCTCAGCAATAACCTGAATGGAAAGATCGCGGAAAATATCACAAAGAGCTTAATTTGACAATACCAAATTAAAAGCATATACTCTCACATGATAGAACTATGTAATAGAAAAGTTACTAACTCGAAGAGCCATTTTCTTGAGTTTGTTCATAGCAGAAAATTGCTTCAGAAGACTCAAAACTGCGGAATCAAAAGGCTTGTCGAGAGCAACTCCGTCAACCTGAATCCAAGAGTGGCCTACAGAAAATTGGAACGACACCATTTACAAGATGGTAATAAAAGTTCATGTTCTATATGATTAAACAATGCAACATTTTTAGTCTTGAAAATATGGAATCTGTAATGAATGTTATATTATGACATTTCGAATGTGAAAATATGAAATATGTTTTACCAGTATCATAATGTAAAAAAAGTGGTGAAACTTACAAAGAACTTCATGTGCTGTTATCCTTTTACTAGGATCTCTAACAAACATCTTCTTAACCAAGTCTTTTGCACTTTCAGAGATACTTGGCCAAGGATCCATAATGATTTCATATTTACACAGATTTTATAGAAAATATAAATATGCTCTTGATAATTGGGAGTAAGATGAAAAATGCAGAACAAAGGGAGGAAAAGAACACAAATAAGGCTCTATGTACAAATTTTACCTGGTACTCAACATTGACCTCGTCAAAGTCTTCTTCCCTAGACACATCCCCATCGTTTTCTGCCACAAAATTAATTTTTATTCTTTTTATTTCCAAATATATAATCAAGGTAATTGAAATTGCAGTTGATATCTCAACCTAAAATCAATTTACTCAGCATACAAAAAATTAAACTTGGTTTGGAGTTCAGTGCAAAGAGATTAGGAGCTAATTAAGAGAATACAATGCATCTTGAAAATCTTTCAGAAATAATAATATAATAGTTAAAATTTTGTTGCTTATCTCTCAATGCTAAATAAAATACAAAGCTTTCTTGTTTCATTTCCATGAGTTCTGCAACAGAATCCACATTTTGTAGGGTTCACAACAAATACCATTATTTGAAACCAAAACATATTGTGTACCTCACTCGAAATCAGTATATTGTTTTAGAGCAAGTTATGCTTACAAGTTACAGCAAGCTGTAGTGTAAAAGCAATAAGTCACATGTGAAATCGGGTTCCATTTAATATGACTAGCTAGCAAACTAAACACGAAAAGATCATACACATATTCAATCACTGTAATTGTGTACATCATATTGAAAAAACAGATCTTGAGCAAAACAAAACAATAGAATCATAAAAGAAACCAAAACCAGTCCTATTACCTGCATCTCCGTGAGCAAAGTGACAGTCATCACCAAAGGGACAACTCCTGGTATTTTTCAAAAAGTCATAACTAGTGGAGCATCATAGTCATAACTAGTAGCGACAACCGAACCTCTCTTTCAAAAAGTGTTTGGTTGGTTGTACATGGATTCATCAAAAGTTTCTAGATATTCTTTCAAAAAGTGTTCGGTTGGTTATACATGGATTCAAAATACGAGTCACTCATGACTCCAAAAAAATTCAAAAAGTGTCTGCTGCAAATATAAGAAAAAACATAAGTGTTGCGGTGGAAATAGGATATCAAACTATTAATTAGTTTGAATCACAATTTTTTGATTCACAACCGCTCTTTGATTTATCCGAAGGAAAAGGTCAAAAGAGGGAAAACCTATTTTTGCATCGTAAACACAATGCGGGGAAAGACCTAGGTAAGGGGTTGGTTAAATTTAGGGAAGGTACTAGCACCCTAAACTTCTGTAGTACTCTACAGGAACCCTTTATTTATTGTATGCCTTTTATTTTTATTTATTATCTGCTTTAATATATATTGAGCTAAGAGATAAAGTGACCTAAAAGACCTAAGGGTTATTCCTAAGTTTACTCGGCAAGACGTCACATCTTGTGCCTACGTATCCTAGATAGGGAATGGAACCAGAGTAATCATAGTTCCCCGTGAAAGGGAGGTTAGAAACTTCTTGACTGTGGTCAAGGTTTCAAGGGGAGTAAACGTATCTTAAGGACACGCTTACGTGGAGTTTTGAAACTCCTGTTTCTACGTTGAAATGTTGAATTTAAAATAGGGTTAGAATTAGGGATTCCACGGCGAGAAACCCTAAAACAGAGTACAGCGACTCGTTGACCTAAAATCTAGGATAAAGAGCGTTTTCGTCCACGGCGGGACGCCTAGGCTAATAGGGTTTGAAAGGGTCAAAAATTAGGGTTATTGACTCGGCGGTCAAACAGCTAGACCTAATTCCCTCGGAGGGGAAAATTAACGGTAAAACATGCAAACATGGAAAAATATTATATGGCAGAAATTAAAGTGCGGAAAGTAAAGAAAGCGTCGCGACGATCACTCGCGTAAATTACAAACCCCAAAAAAAGGAAAATAAAATAAAACCGCGATCATGGCCTCGCGTAAATTACATCCATGGACCAACATAAATTAAATAAACTAATCAGAATTTAAGTATAGTCTGAGGAGAAAAATAGAGAACATTTGTGAGAAGGGTTAGACAGAAATATGGCAAAAAATGGAACAGTTAGTATTGAAAGAAAGACAAACTGCAATTTGGAATTTTTATTATTGTTTTATTAGTTTTGAAAAAGGATTTTAGTTTTAATTTTGAAAAAAATAATTTTAATCTTAGTCTAAAAAAGGTTTAGTTTAAGTTTTAAAAATTTGTTTTAGTTTTAAATTTTAACAAAACTCTAATTTTAATATTTTAGAAAAAATAAAATTTAATTATTATTTTGTGAGGAAGAAAGTTTTAACTTTAATTTTTTTAAAAATGTTTATCAATTTTTTAAAAAAAGTTTTATACTTAAAAAAAAAAACAAAGTTTTAATTTGTATTTTAAAAAAAGGTTTTTATTTTATTATCTAAAAAAATTTTTATTTTAGAAAAGCTTTTAAGAAAAAGTTTTTTATTTGTTTTATAAAAGTAGAACTTTCACTTATTTTTAAAAACAGAATTTTCAATTAAAAATAAATGTACTACTAAAACAACAAAAGGGAAAACAAAAATTGGGTTGGGTTATGGTTACTGCTGCATGCAGCGTCACAAAATAAAAGAAGGTGAGATTCGAACTCTCGACCTTTCACACTCATAACTCCTTACACACCGTCTCTTTCCAATTGTGCTATTTTATTCATTCAAAATAAAGTGGCACTAGAAACCCTGTAAACTAAAAGAACGCGCCACATGATATTTTCTTGCAACAATCAACCAACTGCACAACCCGTTAGTGGTTAGTTTAAACGCAATGCAAAATGAAATGGGATGCAAGATGAAACGACTAATCTTAGGGCAAAATTTGGGGTATTACAATAAGAATACATGTTTTATTCAACAAAAACACATGAACAAAAATACAAGAGAATTAAACCTGAATATGTTTTTCAGGTACAGACCGAAATCTGTGACTGAGTATGAGAAGAAGATAGTGCTTCACTTCCGACTGAAGTTTCAGTAAATCCTAAAATATATTACAAACATAATAAGAAAACCTTAACTTTAAGATTTTACAAATAAAATAAAAAATTACGCTTAAATAAAAATAGACGCAATACCTAGTAAAGCATCTTCAAATATCTCATAATCCTCGTTAAATTCCATGCTTTTGAATTGGTAAAAGGTAGGTCTCAACCAGTTCTGAGTACAAATTAAAGCTTCGACCATTTCTGATTTGAGAGAGCTTTTGTATACCTCTAAAACCCTTCCACCCGTGCTAAATGCACTCTCAGAAGCCATAGTTGAAACTGGTGTAGGCATGATATCTCTAACTATTTGGGACAGAACCGGGTATTGACCAACATTATGTTTCCACCAACAAAGAATGTCAAACTTTTCTTTATCTTTTTCATTGAAAGTTAAACATTTTCTAGAAATATAACTCTGAAGCTCAGTTTCTTCTTCCACTGAATCAATAGACATCAAATGTTGATGAAAAGCATTTTCTGTAGCTATATATGTGGGTAATTCGTCAGTGGCAGCCGTTTCACCATGAGAAACAGCGGCTGCAACAGATGTGACTAAGCCTCCAGCAATGTCATGGGCTTGTTTGTAAAGATCAAACATCTTTGAAAGATTGTTATTGACTAACACTTTTATTTTCGCTTCTCTTCTTTTTTTTCTTCCTTATTATTGCTACATGCATAAGTATCTAGGACCATACATAAACCTATCACAAAATCTATTAGACCTCATAGATGATCGCATGAAATAGAGTTCTATTTGTCCTATTATATTTATAGGTGGGCCTAAAAATAATTTTGCTTATCTTTTTGAGCATTTAACTTCTTATCCCTCCCATATAATTTTATACTTCTCAATCTCTTCATGAATAGATTTGAGTAAAAAAATACGAATTAAATTTTTAATAATTCATTTTAAATTTTTGATAACAGGTTCAATTTTTAGTAGTTCATTTCAAAATTTTGATAACAGACTAAATATTTGGTAGTTTATTTTTAAATTGTCGATATTAATTTTTTTATCGATTTTTTGAACAAAATTAACATATCATATTTTTTGATAAATCCGATATTTACCTTATTTTTTTGAATTTTTTAAAATTTTGGTAGTTCCTATTCAATAAAAAAAACTTAACACTATAAAAAATTTTGAAAAGTGTTGTAGATTATAAAAAATTTCGAAAAGTGTGGTAATTTATCGGAAATTTAAAAATTTCCGATAGTGTAAATTTTTGTTTTCAAAATTTCAATATTTCAATTTTTTTCAAAAACTTTAAAAAGTTTCGTTAAACACAATAAAAAATTCCAACAAAATTTAGTAAGGGCATAAAAATATTAACAGCTATTATGTGGGGTGTCATATTTAATTGAGGGGTGGCATGTTAATTTTTTTTATATCTTTTCCATTTGTTTAAATATAATATAGTCTAAAACAAAGAGTTTTGAATTGGGCCTAAAATCGGGTCATCCCAAGCATTAGTAGTTAAGCGATCTATGAGATGGACACATCTTAAGAGTATATTAAATTAGGTTTAGACTCAAGTTTGCGCAATTTTAAACCCTAAAACTTCACACTCATGATCTTTATTAATTTAATCGTCAAAGTGTTTACATATATAGGAGGATACTAGCTGTTAGAATACGAATTATCGCCTACTTTTTTTTTCTAACCTTAGTTTTTGCCTTATAAAAATGTAGTTTTTATCATACAATTGCACATAATTCTTATTCAATAAAACTCATCATGAATTCTAAGATAGGTAAATTTGATAATTTTTATTCAATTGAAACATCAAACACATAAACTGAACCAATGTATAAAAAAAACTTAAAACTCTCCATGTTTAAATCAAACACTGCCCCTAATGTAAAAAAGAATAAACAAAAGAGAAGGAAAAGGAAAAACTAAAAAATTATGGTAGAGGAGGGAAATGCCCTTGCGATACATGATGTTGAACATTATAGTCATCATATTGTTCATCAGGTTCAATATTTTGCCTTTCCTTATCTGTTCGGCTTCCATTATCACTTGACATTTCTGATTGCTTTCTTGGTGTTATTTGGATCTTTGGGTATGATAAGGCAGCGGGTCAGTGGAAGGCAGTGAGATTGGCTCATTATCATCTTCAAGCATCTCAATATGAACTGATGCATGTCAGGAGTAATTCTAGTTATCAGGGTTGCAGACTGTTCTCTTTCTTTGGTTGGATATGACAATTAACTCCTGACCTCTGACTAGAAGCTTATAAGAGACGCTTGATTGAACGACTATTTGCATTGTAATAAATGCTTCCACGTCTAGCCTTGTACTTCTATGAATTTTAGATAGCTGCTCAACAACCATTTTGTAACCCAAGAATTCAACAACGGGCATTTGTGATGCTTTCGCTTGTAGCCTTCCTCACATTTCCAAAATTCTTAGCCAAAAAGACAGTATAGTCAACCAGAGTGGACTTCAATCATAGACCATATAAAAATAATTCTCTCAGGATGGTGACCCTGGTACTACCCCATCTCGCAAATATGATGTATTCTAATATCTTTTGTATACACTTAAATAAAGGTTTTAAACTAAAGAACTTTTGGCCATATCAGATTAATATCCTTCACCAGTCAATTTTAGCCAAAATATATTCACATAAACTCCCTTAGGGATAACCTTATCACCCTCAGTTGGCAGTTTATAAATCTCAGAAATACGAGAGATGCTCAACGAATAATCTGTGTTGAACATCCTAAAGGTTACAACTCTACACTAGTTATCTGCCACCCTATTAATGTTTACCTCTAAAGTGCTTAAAAATTCTAAGGTACTTCTAGAATAGGTACGGATTTTTAAAGATATAAAATAGATCAATCCTAATTGATTAAGCATCTAGTCAACATCCTATGTTATTCCTAAGTCTCCAACAGTGTTTTGATGCACATGCCTTTTGGGGACAATTTTCCATCAAGAAAGAATATCAAACCTCTATTGTTGCTTAGCGGTTGCAAATTCTTTCTCGTACGAATGAAAGATTCTTGTAACCAGGGCTGGGCAGCGGATCAGGTCGGTTTGGGTTCGGGCTCAAAACCTCAAACCGACCAATCCATAGGGTGGGATATTATAATCTGTTTTTAACTGGATTGTAATTTCGGATTGTCGGGTTCGGTTGTATTCGGGTTTAAATTATTAAGTCGGTTATTTTTGGATTTTACAGATTTTGGCCCAATGAAAATGTATACATTTTTTTTTATTTAGACTAAGGATGACCCAATTTTAAAAATGGTCAAAATACATTTTTTAAGTCATTTTTTTTTTGTTTTTTTTAAGAAATGAGCCATATATTGGACTTCCAAAACTTCACAATTTAAATTGTTAGAATACATTTAAAATTACTATTAGAACCCATATTTCTCTTAAAACTAAAACAAATTCAATAACATTAATACAACCAAATTGTTTAACTAAACTAAAAATCCTTCCAAGGACCATATAAAATCTAAATTTGAATTATTCAACATAAATTCCATGTAGTAACACAACCAAAGCACCATTGTGAAACTAGTAAATAACATTGAAGAACCTCTCATTTTAAGCAGCCTGCATATTCAATTATAAACACCACCATTCAATCCAATGTTAAAGCTAGTGCTTCTACACTTTGAACCACTGTTGCCTAAATCTGTATTGCCTCTCAGCATCATAACAACAAATTCGTTGTAGTCTATTTGTCCATCCTGAAAGGATAAAAACATGAACATAGCAACAACGTCAAAAGTTGTACGAAATTTGGAAAAGCATGATTGAAAATATTATGTACTCACATTATTTTGATCAGCTTCTTGGATCATTTCCTCTAAGTCGACATCTTTCATGCTGAATTCTTTACAAACTTTTTGAAGCTCATCTTGAGTGATGTAACCACTTCCATCTTTATCAAAATATGAGAAAGCTGTAACTAAATTATCTTCCCTACCAACTTTGTTCAAATGCAATGTTGCAGCTATGAATTCTCCATAGTCAATTGTGCCACTATTATCTACATCTGCCTGCAATAACAAACAAAATTGGTTAAAATGGATTATAGTATTGTGAAACTAAAATTGCCAACACGAAAGAAAACAAAGTTTTATTTTGTGACATTAAAGAAATTGAAGAAGATTTTGAACTTACAGCATTCAATAGATCAAAAATCTCAAATTCATTGAGATTGGCGCCGAACATTTTCAGTCCAGCCTTGAGTTTTTCGAAAGTAATTTGACCGGTGTTGTCAGTGTCTATCATCTTAAACAATTCTTTCAACCCAGATATTTCTTCTTCAGAAAGATTCTCAGTAATAACCTGAATGGAAAGATCGCGGAAAATATCACAAAGAGCTTAATTTGACAATACCAAATTAAAAGCATATACTCTCACATGATAGAACTATGTAATAGAAAAGTTACTAACTCGAAGAGCCATTTTCTTGAGTTTGTTCATAGCAGAAAATTGCTTCAGAAGACTCAAAACTGCGGAATCAAAAGGCTTGTCGAGAGCAACTCCGTCAACCTGAATCCAAGAGTGGCCTACAGAAAATTGGAACGACACCATTTACAAGATGGTAATAAAAGTTCATGTTCTATATGATTAAACAATGCAACATTTTTAGTCTTGAAAATATGGAATCTGTAATGAATGTTATATTATGACATTTCGAATGTGAAAATATGAAATATGTTTTACCAGTATCATAATGTAAAAAAAGTGGTGAAACTTACAAAGAACTTCATGTGCTGTTATCCTTTTACTAGGATCTCTAACAAACATCTTCTTAACCAAGTCTTTTGCACTTTCAGAGATACTTGGCCAAGGATCCATAATGATTTCATATTTACACAGATTTTATAGAAAATATAAATATGCTCTTGATAATTGGGAGTAAGATGAAAAATGCAGAACAAAGGGAGGAAAAGAACACAAATAAGGCTCTATGTACAAATTTTACCTGGTACTCAACATTGACCTCGTCAAAGTCTTCTTCCCTAGACACATCCCCATCGTTTTCTGCCACAAAATTAATTTTTATTCTTTTTATTTCCAAATATATAATCAAGGTAATTGAAATTGCAGTTGATATCTCAACCTAAAATCAATTTACTCAGCATACAAAAAATTAAACTTGGTTTGGAGTTCAGTGCAAAGAGATTAGGAGCTAATTAAGAGAATACAATGCATCTTGAAAATCTTTCAGAAATAATAATATAATAGTTAAAATTTTGTTGCTTATCTCTCAATGCTAAATAAAATACAAAGCTTTCTTGTTTCATTTCCATGAGTTCTGCAACAGAATCCACATTTTGTAGGGTTCACAACAAATACCATTATTTGAAACCAAAACATATTGTGTACCTCACTCGAAATCAGTATATTGTTTTAGAGCAAGTTATGCTTACAAGTTACAGCAAGCTGTAGTGTAAAAGCAATAAGTCACATGTGAAATCGGGTTCCATTTAATATGACTAGCTAGCAAACTAAACACGAAAAGATCATACACATATTCAATCACTGTAATTGTGTACATCATATTGAAAAAACAGATCTTGAGCAAAACAAAACAATAGAATCATAAAAGAAACCAAAAC